ACTGTTTTGGCCTCTCCATTGCGGAGCACAGGCTCCGGACGCGCAGGCTCAGTGGCCATGGCTCACGGGCCCAGCCACTCTGTGGCATGTGGGATCTTCCCGGACCGGGGCACAAACCCGTGTCCCCTGCATCGGCTGGCGAACTCTCAACCACTGCGCCACCAGGGAAGCCCTCCTTATACATTTTTGTACAGATTTTTGTGTGAACACAAGTTTTCATTTCTTTGGGGTAAATGCCCAAAAGTACAACTGTTCTGTCATATTGTAGTTTCATATTTAATTTTCTTATATGCTGCCAAAATGGTTTCCAGAGTGGCTTTAATGTTTGAAATTCCCATCAGCAATGAATGAGTGATCCAGTTTTTCCATATTCTTTCCAGCAAGAATTGAATATTGTTCTGACTTTTTATTTTTTTAAATTTAGCCATTGTGATAAGTGTGTAGTGATTTCTCATTGTGGCTTTAATTTTGTAGGAGATCTTTTCATATGCTTATATCCACCTGTATATTCTCCGCAGTGGAATGTCTTTACATGTCTTTTGCCCATTTTATAATTGGTTTGTTTTTTAATGTGAGTTTAAAAAATATTTAATCATCATTGTTCATTTGACATTAAACAAATATGTACAGTAAAATAGTAAGTGCCAGACCCTGTTCTAAGGTACATTGGTGAATAAAGCATTGATCTCAGCACTTATGAAATGTACGTTCTAGCAGGGGGAGAATGACATATATTGAACATGTTCAACAGTTGCAAGTACTACAGAAAAAAATTAAAGCAGGGAAAGGGGGATAGGGTAACATGGGTGCAGGTTGAAATTTCAAACCTTTATTCATGCCTAAACTCATATGGATATGCAGGCACATTTGTCTTTTGAACAATAGTTAGGAAAGTAAACATTAAAAACAAAGTTACTAATGTACCGCAATGCTATCCCAACTTGAAAATTGGGTTGCTGGATTTGTAGCATGTTGGAGAATTATGGGGGTTGTAATAACTAAGGCTTATTGAATGTTAAGCACTAATGACTTCATTTTACATACACCACCTCATTGAATCTCCACATGAAGGTGCAATTTTATATCTTTAAATGTGTTTTTTAAGTTAATTTACCCATGACCCTACAGTAATTGATGACACCAATTGTCATCAATTGAATGAAAAAGATATGGATATCCAAAATTTTAATAGTGCCTTAAGTGGTAGTATTAAGAATATTTCATTTTTCAATGTTTAAAACTTTTAAATAGTACTTGTTTTATCATGTTTCATGTTATTTATAGAGTTAAATGTTTTCCTAAAATACTGAAGTATCTCTCTACAACTTCTCCTTCCATTTCATTTATGACCTCTTCCTCAGTCCATTCTCTAAAAAATATTGACCTTTGATAATCCTTTCCCAACCTTCCTCTTTACTAGATGATCTATGACTTCATTTACCATCAGTCAAAAACTGGTTGTAAGAAGAAACATTTCCAGAGACTCAGCATTTGTACATTGTCTTATAAACTTGGTCAATTCTCTACATGCCTGACCACAAAAATACAAGCTCATGAGTCCCAGGAGCTTGTCTTGAGCTCCAGGCCCATATTCAACTGCCTCATGGGTTCTGTGGGTTCAAAAGCAAATTCTTTTCCCTAAGGTATGGACATTAAAACATTTTGGGATTTTGGGGAAAATGTAACAGGACTCATTTTAACCAACTTGATAAAAATATTGATTTTCTTGACTGTGACTCATTTAAATCTGATTTTGAGAATCATTTGTTTAGCTATTTGGGGAAAATAATCATATAGGAGGCCTAACTATTTAGGTTAGATCAAAAGCTATTGCATTTTACATTAAATCTCTTTGCCCAGTGTTTGACCAATTTTAATACAGATTTTGTTTCACCAGCAACCTTCTTTTTTCATAACTTTGGTTAATCAAAAATTCCTTTTACTTATTCTATTATGCTGTGTTCTCTTCCTTTCTACATTGTTTAAGATATCATTACCCATTTCCCAGCTTGAGAAAGTAGGACATCACAAATTACATTTATACCAAGACTAAATATTCCATGATTTGGTTTGTAATCAGACCATTATTTTAATGCCTGGATTTTTGTTATTTTAGTGGCTTGTGTTTCTACATCTTGCTTTTATCTCCCTTAATCTAGAAATACTTAGTTTCCTATACAAAGACAAAGTGTTCCATACCTCTTCTTATCCTTGTCATCAATTGTCGAATTGAGTCATCTCTCCATAAAAGCCTTAGTATGAACTTCCTGCAAAGGTCAATATTAGGCTATGAAAGTTTGGAAATTTTCTAAGATTAGTCATCTGTTACATGGCAGAACATGTTTTTCAACCAGAGTCTGATTTCCAGCCACAGGCTCTCTCTACTTTGTTATACTACCACAGGATAATTAAGAGATGAGATTTGTCCACCTGCCTCTATGGGCCAATATATATGGGTTTCAAATACTAATTTGGTGCTAAGATAACATTGGGAACATAGTAAGATGGATAAAACTCTGTTTCACAGAGCTCATGTCAAGGATAGCACTGTATGTTTTGGAAGAAATATGATAAGCCATTTGCAGTGCTTTCAAAAATGGGTGAGCAAATGTGGGACTATGGTTAAATTATGCAGTACAAGGTAAAAGATTCCACCATTAGTCCTCCTACATCACTTATCCCACACACAGAATTCAGCCGCTTTTGTAAATTAGTAGTGAGCAAATATTATGAAGTATCAGTTTGGAAGGGTAAAGGGTGATTTGCTTACTGGGACTGACATCTGTCTGAGTGTGCCCTGTACTCAGCTCTGCACTTTGTAGATTATGAGAAATTCCCATCGGAAGAAATGAATCCACATCTACACCTCTGCTAAAGCATTTTTCCCCACAAGGTATAAATCTATCTTAAATAGCTAAAGTTTCAGAGAAATGGAAATCATGATATAAGCCTACAGTCAATATTTCAGCAAATACAGAAGGAAAGTTAAAGACAGTTTCTTGATCACAAGAGGAAAAGTCAAGCAAACCAAAAGTTGAAATTTTTGGCCAAATTGAAATCTTAAAATAAAATTGAAAACAAACAGATTACCAGTAATATGGTATATGGTGTATGTTTAATGTTCTGGAAAAGATGGTTCTTGTAAGCTTGATTAAGAGTGCTACAGCCTTAAAGATTGAACTTATGAGTTGGATGGTGGCATTAAGAATGTGTTGACTTCTTCCAGGATGCTAAGAACATAAATATTGGAGTGTAATCCACTTTCAAAGGTTTATGAAAATAGTAAAACCATGATCAGACGTTGGGGAAAATCTTCCAGACTAGACTTTCTTCTCTATCACAAGTTTCCACAGCAAATCAGGAAAATGTAGGAAATGTGGCAGTATTCCTACCTCAGAAGACTAGCCTGAGGAGTAATAAAAAAAAAATATTGCAATGTTAATTGTGGACAAAGCCAAGATTTATTTTTGGTATTAGGAATAGGACACCCTAAACATACAAGGACACACTTAAATTCACTGACAGATAGTCAAATGTAGAAATATTAAAGAAATCTTATTAGCACATTTGTAAGATTAGGAGGAAATTCTGAGCATATGTATAAATATATATAATATCACTGGAGCAGGCCTGAATATTCAGTCAAAAAGTAAAAGACCATTTTTGAAATTTTAGCCCAAAGTCTTTTATAAGTAAAATATTGAACTTAGTAATCCACTCTTAGAAACCTGCAATGAAAATTACCACAGCAATCATAACACTGTCCTATGTTCTCATTTTCTATTTTAATAATAATATTTTCAGTCACAAGAGTCAGGTTGATGCCCTCAAGTGAAACCTAGAATTGAAATAATTGCATAGATAATTTAGACTAAACATATTTTCCTTTACCTGAGACTTCCATATCATTGAGATTTCTTTTGATTGGAATCATGTGAATGCTATCCATCTTCTCAAAACATAAGCATTATTTGCACATTTAATGGCTAACAACAGCATCTGGAAAAGGCTCCTCTGTGGAGTTATTTATTCACTTCCATATTTTAAAAGGGATTTGAGGAAGAAAAAAATCTGGATTTCATGCTACATTTCCAACGTATATTGTGACATGAAACTAGAAGCTAACAGTTTTGCTACAGACATTTGCCCAGTGACATTTAACCAGGTATAAGTGAAAACATACTTATGGTGAAATCATCATAATTAATGATGATAGAAATTCTAGTAAATATGATCATTCTATTTCCCGAGGTGTGGTTTCAAAATTTAACACAAGATAGTAAACATAAGCACAATAATTTGATTACTCATTTTACTAGTTGGAATTCTCCTTAGATCAATTTCTAACAGGATTTGGATTACTTTGACTCCATTGCTCTATAAGTCTTCACTCTCAATAACTATTCCAATGTTGGTAATGAAAGTACTTAGGTAGTCACACTTGCACCATTCCTTGAAATCTTGCCCATTAGTTTGCTTGAACCTCATAAAATATTAACTTGTGTTGTGTGCAGTAAGGAGACCAATAAAACACCAATGTGTGGTGACTAAACCATTAAAAAATGTCTTAGCACCCCTTCTATAATATTCTGTGACTTATAGGAATTTCAGATTTGTCTGTTTTTAACAAGTATGAAATATTCTTTGTTCTTAATATAACTTCTTCACACTCTTTGAGAGAGAAATTGCCCATACATGCAAGAAAAAAAAAAAAAACCCACTGGATTCTGGTTTACTAATTTATTTTAAGAAATAAATTTGGAGAAAATTCTGCTTATTTCACTTCCTTACTTTATCTATTAGTAATCAACAGGTGATTGCCATTAGCAGCCAAAGAACGAAAACAGTGTTCCATTAATCTTCAATGCTTAAGAAATAAAAGGCTCTCCATTAGAGTGTATAAACAGAAAATCGATGTATGTTAAACCAACTTTCTAAGGTACAGCTTCTCTTAGATACCAAATTTGGATAAGGAAAAACAGAATTATCCTTGAACAAGATGAAAAACTACAAAATATAGAATTGAAGGATTTCTATTTAAAACTCAAATTAGTCTGCTAATTATGGCCACATTACCAAACTAAACTGAACCCAGTGAAGTAAAGGGACGAATCTATTTATAACCAAACCAAACCAAAACAAAACAAAAAAAAGCTAGAATTAGCAAGCAAAAATTAGCAGGTTTTCTACTTCTACCACCATCTTTTGCTCCAGAGATTGATGGGTCCCCTCTTCTGAGTGAGCCAAAACAAAAAAACAAATATAAGAAACAATACACCCAAATATATGAAGTTGAGTGGTAAGCAAGTTTCCAGGAAAACCTAGTCAATACCTCATAGTCATTTCAAACTTTCTATGGAAGTGTTCAAATGCAGATTCCACTTGATGAATAGAATTCAATAGCGGTTTGAAAACAGGTATATATCTAATTGGGCACTTTGTGGTGATTGAATGGATCCAAACTGCCAATGTCTCTGAAAAGAGAAAGGTAAATAAAGAGAACATAACCATTGTCATTGACTATACATGCTGTGATTGGATTATCTTGTACCCAGTTTCAGACCTTGAAGCATTGAAGGTGTGAAGAATCCTTGAGAGAGAGAGGAAAGAAAGTGATAGCTTTAACTTTTAAAATGCAAAGCATGACTTTTTCAAATTGCTTACCAGCTCCCAGTCCTCATTACTGCCCACCTCCCTCCCCCTTATTCTAGATAGAATGTCAGCCATGCTCCTCTTACCCAGCTGTTTTAGGTAAGTAAATGTTTTAGTGCCCGTTGGATCTCTCTAATCTGCAGAAGAATAAAACAGAAAAACAACTTTAAAATAAGCAACCACACCTTTAAAAATCTTTGTTTTGTGACAAAGTATCTTTATAACTTTGTATTCAATATATGAATTGCTTTAGATTTAAGCATTAAGTCATTTCATATTTTAACCCAGTCACCAACTCACTATTAAATCTTAATATTAAAGGAGCACCTCAATTTCGCCACCTGTTTACCTACGCTGACACTGGACAGGGAGTGAGTTATGGGAGTAAATGTATATAAAGAGCTCTGAGATGCTTTAGTAAAAAAATAATATAGATACATGAAGTATATTGTAAATATTGGAAAAAAACAATACAAATGTCCCATTTCTGTAATAATTGACAGGTTGATAGGCTAAACAATAATTTTAGCTTCATTCAAATTTGCAATAAAAATGAGATCCAATCTAAATACTCTTAAATAGAATATGTAGAGCTTCAGTGGTAATGATGTTCTTAGATTTCCTGTTTTTATATGATATTTGAGAGATCACATAGCATACTCAGTGGCATTGATTCTGGGAGAACTCAATTTCTACACATCATTCAACTCTTCATCAAGGTTACAAGAAAGGTGGAAAAATAGATCAAAAGAGACTAAAGGAAGTCGATAGCTTGGCATAAAATGCCACACAGCTATCCGCTTAGGGCATAAGTCAATATAGTTGTGCATTGTTCATTCCCCTTGTTAAACAAGAAAGGAGAGAGAAACTTCAAGTTAGGAGATTTCAGAACATTCATATCTTTTATAACTTCTCTTTGCAAATCTTTATGGACAAATGTGTTTTTTATCAAAATATGAACACTCGAATTTCAAATGCACAAATTATTCCTTTAAACAAAATGATCCTTATACCCAAACATTTGTAAATGTTACCTCTTAAAGGCTAAGAATGTTGTTATGATCTTGCTCACCTATAGAATATTCTCTGAGTCAAGAGTTCAGAGTAAGACGTGCATACCTGTCTTGACTTAAGTGGTCTATAGAGAATTGGATCAACGGTATGCCAAGGTCTCCACTGCAGGTATTGTTTTGGCAAACTTTCACAGCTTTGGTTCTTAGCTTATAGCTTTCTGTAAAAACCTGGAGTAGAATAGGAATATAAATACTCATATTCTTTTATCTAAGTCTTTTTTATTATATTATTAATTCTATTCTGATATCAAACTGTATGAAAGCTTTTACTTTTTTTTTTTTTTTTGGTCCTATTTAAATTAACAGATTGGTTAATTACTACTGTAGCAATAATAATCACACTATTTTTTCATTTCTGCATTTTTTTGAAATTAGGTTTCAAATGAATGTTCCTCATTTGATAATAATAATTAAATCTGGAATAATTGTAATGAATCAGTGTGCCTGTCATGTTGATTAAATAGGGATTTTTGGTATGTATTCACTTTCTATTGCTGCTGTGACAAATCACCATGAACATATGGCTTGACACAATACAAATGCATTATCTTATAGTGCTTTAGGTCAGACTTCTGATGTAGTTCTTACTGACCTAAGATACAGGTATCAGCAGAGCTGTATTACTTTCTGGAGACTCTAGGACAAAATCTCTTTCCTTGCTTTTGCCAGCTTCTAGAGGTCTGCATTACTTGGTTTGTGGCCCCCTTTTAGATATTCAAAGCTAGCAACATAAGGTCAAGTTCTTCTCATGCTGCCATATTTCTGTTTCTCTGAAGTCAAGAAAGGTTCTTGCTTTTAAGAATTTGTGTGATTAGATTGGGCCCACTTGGATAATCCAGGATAATCTCCCCATCTCAAACTTCTTAACTTTAGTCATATATGCAAGTCCCTTTTGCCATGTAAAGTAACATATTCACAGGTTCTGGAAATTAATTCATGAATCATTATTCTTTCTACTATATAATAATGGTCAAATTTTGTCTGGACATTAATTATATTGATCTTTTAAATAATCAGCAGTGTCATGATCATGTAGCCTACCTTTGTTCCTAACCATGTATTTGAAAACAAGAACTTCCCAACATTTCCAAAGTAATTCCAGATCTCTTAAAGTAAAAAAAAGAACCTCTATTATTTAAATATTTCAGCTTTGAGCTTTTTAAATTTCAATAAGAATAAAAAAATGGATAAATACTATTATTTTGGAAAACAAGCATATTATCAGGATATATTTAAGCATTACAAGAAGAGAAGGACTGGGTTTTAGCCTGCAAATGTAATGCATTGTGTCTTCTTCAGCATGTCTCTTCAGCTCTTCAGGCAGTAGTTCCTCACACACGAAGCAAGTAAATTGGATTATGTGAGCTCTTAAAATCTCTTGAATTACAAAATTCTATAATTTCATCACTTCATGAATACTATTAAAACACTAGAGTTGGATGGAGATAACACTTCATATGGAATGGTGGAGTGAGGCTTCCATAAATCTACTTCTCACTAAAAGCAATAGAAAATTAGTAAAAACTGGCAAAATCAACTTTTTCAAACTCTGGAAGTTAGCCAAAGACTTGTAAAAATATGAGGAGTGTTTATTCAAGAAAAATTGCTGACTTTTGGTAAGAGCAACAGGGTTTGTGGCATTATAACTTTACCTTTTCCCATCGCACTCTCCTCAGCCTTGCAAAACTTGAAAATCAGCAGCTTTGCAACTATAGTAACTGTGAAAACCAGAAGCTATGTAAGTATTGGAAGGGGAAAACTAGGTTTGGACCTCAAAAGGTCTATCCTTAGAGTATTGTCACTATTTGATCTATTTGACAGCTCCCTGGAAAAAAACCATTTATATCATATTGTCCTTATTTTACCTGATTAGGAATTTCCTTAAATAAAGAAAATACCTATCCCCAAAGTGTTTGTGGAAATTTTTCAGCAAAAATTGTTTAACATGGGAGCTGCCTAAGGCTGCAGTATCAGTTTAGGTTAAATAAGAACTTGGCTAAAAATTTAAAAGGAAGATCTGGTGAACAAGATGTCCATAGGGGTTTTGAAAAGCTCTGACATATTTACGGAGTTCTAAAAGTTCATACACATATGCAGGGCTGGGTGCATGTCCAGGAAAAGACTGAGAAGGTCTCAATCTCTCACCACTAACAGATTTTGAGGTCTTGCCCAAGTAAGAAGTAAAGAATATGTAAGGTTGTAAAATTCCTGAGTGTTGATCATAAGTCCCAACAAATAGAGCTTCTCAATAAAGAGTGAAAGACTTGTTGGTTCAAGGAAATTAAGGAAATATCTGACTGATCATTAATTGATCACTAAGTTAACTAAGGAGAAATTTCAGTGACTACATGCTACAGGAAATGCAAACTTTACAGAATTAGCTCAAGAAAATCATTAACTAACTAAACATGAGCTGCAGTATTAGCAACAAAAATAACAACAAAATAGCCACAGCATCAATCAAACCCTGGGAGCAGGGTTTGATTTCCAGTGTTGCCACATTACAATATCTCAAAGGTCTAAAATGTCCAGCTTTTGGCTAAAAAAAATATGAAATTTATAAATAGGAAAGTATGACCCATACATTGGGAAAAAAGCAGTATACAGAAACTGTCCCAGAAGGTGTCTAGATGTTGAACTTCATTAACAGAGACTTTAAATCACTCACTATAAATATGAAGAAATAACTAAAATAAGCTACGTCTAAAGAATTTAAATGAATTATAACCACAATGTCTCACTAATGTTATATATTAATAGATAGAAATTATAAAAGAAGAAGCAAATAGAAATTCTAAAGTTGAAAAGTACAATAAATAAAATGAAAAAGTCATTAGAGGAATTCAACAGAAGATTTGGGCTGGCAGAAGAAAGAATCAATGAACTTGAAGTCAGGTCAATTGAAATTATCTAGTTTGAGGAACAGCAAGAAAAAAGAAGGATAAAAATTAGAGTCTCAAATCTTTTTGGCATACCAGCAATTGTACTAACCTATGCATAACAAGAGTATGAGAAGAAAAGGGTTAAAAAAAAAAAGGAGAAGAAAAAAAAATTGAGGAAATACTGACTGAAAATTTCCCAAATTTGATCATAAAAGGAAAAATAATTATTCTACATATCCAAGAAGCTCAACAAACCACAAATACATTAAACACTAGGACAACAACACCATGGCACATTATAGTCAAGCTGTCAGTAACCAAAGATGGAGCATCTTGAAAATAGCAAGAAAAAATAACACACCAGGTACAGAAGATTTTTAATAAGATCTTTCATTGACTTTTCATCAGAAAACATGGAGAATAGAGGCAGTAGGTGGCATTCAAAATGTTGAAATAAAAAGACTGTCAACCACGAATTCTGTATCCAGAAAAACTATACTTCACAATGATAGACATAAACAGAGACTGTGTCACTAGCAAACCTGTCTTATGGGAAACACTAAGGGGAGGCCTTTAGGATATTTTGTAAGGGCACCAGATGGTAACTCAAATCTTCACAAAGCAAAAAAGAACCCAGTAGGGTTACCATATTGGTAAATATGAATTACAGTATAAATGTATTTTTTGTTTATAACCCTTTTCTTCTCTTATTTAAAACTCAAGTGGAGCAAAGCAATATTTATAAAATTTTGTTGATGGGCTTAAAATGTTTTATACAGTTTAAGGGGATGAGGAAGGGGCTGAGGGATGTGAGGAATGAGGTGAGATCAGAGCTTTATTGGAGTAGAGTTTCTGTATACTGTTGAAATTGTCAGTATTAATTTAATGTAGCTTGTTTTAAATTAGGTTGCTAACTTAATATTCAGGTAACAACTAAGAAAACAACTAAAAATATTGTAAATGTAACAACAAGGAGATTACATGGTACACTAGAAAATATCTATTGAACAAAACCTAAGGCCGTGATGAGGGATAGATAGAGAAAGTAAACTGTGGAAAACAATTAGCAAAATGACAGATGTGAAGCCTTATTTATCAGTAATTGTATTAAATGTAAAGTCATTAGACATTCCAATTAAAACACAGATTGGCAGAAAGGACAAGAATTCATGATCCAACTTGTACATATGTAACAACCATACTTTAGATACAAATAAAAATAATAAAATGATTGCAAATTAAAATAGATTCAAAGACATAGAAAACAAACTTATGGTTACCAAAGAGGAGAAGGAGAGAGAAAGGGGCAAATTAAGAGTATGGGATTAACAGATAGAGACAACCATACATAAAATAGATAAACAACAAGGATTTACTGTATAACATAAGGAATTATATTCAATATCTTGTAATAACCTATGATGGAATATAATCTGAAAAAAATAACTGAATCATTTTGCTGTACATCTGAAAATAACACAATATTGTAAATTAACTTTACTTCAAAAAAAATAACAAAAATAAAAGAAGAAAAGATTAGAAAAACATATAGTCAAAGTAAAAATTGACAGAATTGAATAGAAATAGAAAATTCAACAATAACAGTTAGAGACTCAATTAATCCACTTTTAATAATGGATAGTACAACAAGGCTTAAAATCAGTAAGAATATTATAAAATATCTAGACCAACAGAGAGCTATAGAAGACTCCACCCAACAAAAACAGAACATGCATTCTTCTTAAATGCACATAGAATGTCCTCTAGGACTGATTATATGCTAGGCCATAAAACAAGCCTCAATAACTTTAAAAGTATTGGAAACATACAAAGCATAGTCTCTGAACACATGGAATTTAACTAAAAATCGATAATAGAAGAAAATTTTGGAAGTTCACATGTATATGGAAATTAAACAATATGCTCTAAAATAACCAATCAAAGAAGAAATCACAAGAGAAATTTGAAAATACTTTGACATGAACAAAAACAAAAATACAACGTATCAAAACATATAAGGTGCTACAAAACCAGTGCTTAAAAGGAAAAGTAGAACAGTAAATGCCTATAATTAAAAATAAAAAAGAAATTAATCAACAAACTAAAAAACCGTCTTAAAAATTGGGGTGTGGGGGAAGCAAACTAAATATAAAGAAATCAGAATAAAGGAGATATTGGAGCAAGGATGTACAACACAGAGAATAGAAAAACAATAGATAAAATCAATAAGTCCAAAAAGTTGTTCTTTGTAGCATCAATAAGTTGATCAACTTTTAACTA